CTCTCCCGGCGCTGCCCAGGCATGCGCCCGCCTCGCCCCCTGGCCTGAGAGCAGCCCGCTGCCCTGGCCTGTCCCAGCCCCACCTGTCCGGAAGCTGCTGCCCCGCGAGTAGAGCCCGGCCTGTGCTGGGGTTGGCCCCACTTGCCCGCCCGGCTCTGAGCGATGAGCGAGCAGGATGACGACAAGTCAGGACTGAGGCTGGAGGCTGCGATCCAGGTCAGTGAGCAGCTCCCAGCCCTGAAACATCCACCCCGCAAAGAAACCAGGCCGGGGAAGAAAGGGTTCAGGCCCTGCTTTGCGCTGCAGGATGAGGCCAGGGAGTGAAGGCTTCAGTGGATTCCTCCCTCCTTGCTGCTCTCAGCTGGATGTCTTCCAGGACAATTGGCAGGGACCAGCTGCAGGCGCTCTGGGCAATTCACACGTGTGTGAAAGAAAAGGAGTGTCATGTCTCAAAAAGCAGCACCCTGTCGGGTTTGGACAGAGCTGCAGGGATTTAGTGGAGTGGGTGCAAAATAAAAAACCATGATGTGGGATGCCGTTTTAGTATCAGAAATGGCGCCCCAGACAGGAGCTTGTGTGCAGGAAGCTGGGGCAAGAGAGGAGGTTTCAGTTTCCCTGGATGAGAAGCTGCAGATCTGGCTAGCTTTAGGGTGTAGAGCAGCAGTTCTCAACCAGGTGCCATGGCACCCTGGGGTGCTGTGAGACCCTTGCACTGGTAGGGGTGCAAACACCTACACGTGACTCCCAAGATAAACCCAGAGATCTCAAGTAGAAATCCACAGTGTCCCAGACATTCTGGCCTGTTGTGGTCTTTCTGAGTTTTTTGCCACAGGGGAATTGTTGTATTATTTTTCTGTAGCTAAAACACAAGTGAAAACTAAGATCTGACAGCTTCCAAAGGCTGCCTTGAGCTTAAAGAGGTTGAGAACCACTGGTCTAGTGAGAGACCTTCATCCTCTGTTCAAAAGCCATCTTACAAGCCTTTTCCTCTTGTGAGAAGGTATTTCCTGTGCACTTCAGTGAGCCATCAGGCCATTCTTAAACACCGCTCTTTCCAGTTGTCGCAGACTGGCAGCTGTTCCTCTTAAAGGGCACCAGGGAGAGGACCCTCAGCAGCAGCATCTTTTCCTCTCCCTGATATCTGGAAAGTCCTTGCCTGTAAAGAGTACATGTCAGTGGCTCAGTAGGTTGCGGGAGGGGTGGTCAGGTGCAACCACAGATTCCCTTCTACTGGTGCCATTATTTCCCCCAGTAAAAGGTTACTGCTGTATTTACTTTCAGTGCTCAGCTCAGAAGCCTGACCAGCACCCTCTACCTGTTTCAGAAAGGAGAGGGGTGGGGAGAAATAGGGACACAACACCTAAAGCAGACACAGTGTGCTAGGGCTGTGGCCAGGAGGCATCAGGGAGGGGTCTGAAAAGATGGCCTGAGACCTGATGGGTGTCCTGGTGCTTCCTGAGTTCTGCAGGGTTGGAGGACTTTGGCCTCTGTCCCTGAAGCAATAAACAGATGTCAGCTCCCTGAAGGCAGGATTCTTCCAGGGCTCAACACATCGCAGCATGCCACTCACCCTGGGGCCAGGGAGCAGGGCTACACTACTGGCTGCCCCCAGCACATACACACACAGTGGCAATGACAACCCCTCAGCTGGAATAGCATCCACCTCCCCTGTCACTGCGTGGATCACAAACTGCATTCATGCTGTGCTTCTGTCATCTCCACACCATCGTCCTCCTGAGGAACAGTGTGGAGACCTGCTCTGCAGCACAAGGGTGAAGGGGCCTCACCCAGGATGAATGCTCTGCCTGTGCCCTTCACACATTCCCCTTCCCTCCTCCCTCCTGATTCTCCAGCTACCCCCGGACAAGAATAATGGGGTGTCACAGGAGCACCTGGCTAGTGGGGGTGGCTGAAGGGATTTGATTTTGGGGTCCCTGGTGACATCTCTCCTTGCTGTCTTGAGCTGTGTGGAGGGGAGTAAGTTCCTCCTGGATTCCCATTTCTCTCCTAGTCACCCTTAATCAAGACCTGGCAGATTTTTCCACATGAATGACCTCAAGCATCAGCTAGAACCAAGACCTGCCTCCTACTCCAGCCCAGCACATGCTACCATGAGGCCCATGGGTCAGACCTCTTGGCATGTTTATTGCTAGTAACTTCAGCATCTCTGTAACATATAAGCAACAGCTTCACTAAGCAGCCTGTCTTGTACATTCAGCCTCAGATTTTCCCAGTTGGTTTTAGGTCCTGCTAAATCATTTTGGCTGCAGTTATCAGCTGGGGCTTCATCAAGTGGATGCTGGGATTCTGGGACTTAGGAGCCAATATGCCATATTACAGGAGGTTGCTAGCTTACCAAGATGGATGGTGGCATTGCTCACCTACATGAAGGGAACCTGTTTTGTGGTTGTGAACTTTGATGGTGCACTAACCTTGCATCCAGGCTAAGCTATGTCAGTGCAACTGCTTATCCCCTCATCTGCCTGGGTCTCTAGTGCTGCACTGAGATGTCACTTCCATGGTCTTAGAAGCTTTTGGAATGTTTTCAAGCTAATTGTTTGATTCTAGCATCTGGAAAAAGAAACAAAACTTCAGTATTGCGGGCATGGAGAGATTTGCCTTGAGAGATGCATGAATGCTCCAAAACTGGGAGGGGTTGGGTAGTGAGGTTTAGTCTGAGGTGTTGTCATTTTAAAAGGCCACAAGAGGGCAGTGAGATCTCAGGAAGTGGAGCTCACCGGCTACAGGCTTCAAGAGGAGCTGGGAGCATCCAGCTGAGGCCTAGGCTTGAAAGGTGCCCAGGACTGCTGTGTTGGGGGTAGTTAAAATCCTGCCATGGGAGTGTTGGGTTGGTTTTTCAGCTTGTCTTGCAGCTTCTGCCCTTGCCTGACTGCTGTGTATTGTCCCTGCCAGGGACAACTGGATTTTAGGCTGCATAGCAGAGCAATGCAGTCAGGCAGCTGAAAGAACTGGTTCCCAGGACAGGGTTCCCCCTGCCAGCACATGGCTCTAAGAGCTTACATCTCTTGAGGTCCAAGGCTCAAGGCTGGCTGGGGTTCTCTCCTCTGCTCTGGCCCTGACCTAG